CCAGTGGATAAGATGGAACCCAACATTAACTGGAGGAGTTTGACAAATAAACAAGCAATTACAATGTTTGATAATGCTACAAAATTATTAGCAAAATACAGCAGGGGCATCAAACCAAATCTTGGAATGTGGGAAGATTTCCCAAAGAGATGTTAACTAAGCTGAGTGGTAAAATTAACCAAGTAGTTTATCTGGCAAAGAAGGCAATTAAAAATGTCTATCAGAAGACTTCTAGATTCCATCACATAATGATATACAGGGAAAAGAGACAGAGGGAAATTAATATTTGTTGACTGCCAGGCACTGTGAAAGTGCTTTATGTGTATTAAATAACTAACCTTCACAATAATAGAGCAAGAAAGGTATTATTAAGCCCATTTTATTGAGGAGAAAACAAAGGCTTAGAATGGTTAAACAAGCTGTTCACGATCATGGGACCAGAAAGAAGCATGGCCTGTATTCAAACCCAATATTCTTTCCATTACTTTAAGGATCACTAAATTAGAAAATCAGACTCAACAAAACTTTGCCTCATTCTTTCTAGCCGGGAAGCTTCAGTCTTTGAGAGGAGCAGAAAAGTATATCTACAAAGTACACTTTGGTTTTAAGTAGATGCCACTGATGACAGTTTGCCAGAAAGTGCCTGAATGGCAGATGAAGCGGTGACCCTGCAGTTATGGATTCTGTGTTCTTGACCAGGAGCTGTTGGGCACTGTTCATGTACTTTACAGCTCTTGGCTCTTTGCCATTTAAGGTCACTCAATATTTTCATTCAAACTGACTCACTTTATCTCCAACCACCAAAAGCAAGCACAGGGTGTCTGCATCTGCTTCTTTGAGAGGCCACACATTAGGGCCCATTCATGTAATCTTGGCCTTAGCTTGTAGAATTAGTTTTTTTCTTTATCTATCATCATCTGAATAAGAAAGTATACTTAGTTATATAAGCCAAATTGTCAAAGGACTCACTTTTTGATTACAGAAATAGAATGAGGCCTTTTTGTGTTGATTTCATAAAGGAATGTGTTTTCTTTTAGCCCTACACAATTCAAGGCTATACTAAGTTCCAAACGCTGCTTCTCAGAAGCACTCTTTGTTTCCTTTAGCTCTGTAGAAGTGGAGACTGTAGAGTTTTGGGGAGTTATTCAATCAAGGTCCGTTCCTGGGATGGAAACGCAGTAGAAAGGCAGCTTGTATCCTTTACTCAATACATCTGATTTGGGGAAAGGTAATTGCATTGCAAAATTAAATATTTTTCAAGGTTAATTAAGCCAGGCAAAATTTCTGAAGCTCGGATGACAAAGCAATAAGGGACACACTACATATACCAATTAGAAATGGCAATATAAAAGGTAAAGCTCTTAAAGGCTTGTATTCAAACAAGCAAATTGCTGTTTAAATAAATGTTGCCAAATACATTCTATTCATTCATTCACAGAAGGATATTATGAAGAGAAGCAAGGCCTGGTGAGGAGACAGAGATGACCGAAGGTTCAACATTTTAGAATACGTGGTCAGGGCAGGTCCCCCTGAGGAGGGGATTTGTTGTGAGAAGCTATGTGGAGATCCAAGTGAAGAAAATTTCAGGTGGAAGGATTAGCCAAAGTAAGGGTCTTGAAGTAGAAATAAGCAGGGGAGGCTCAAGGATGACCAAGAAAGCCAGTGTGGCTGAAGAAGTACGAGAGAGAGAGCGAGAGAGATACATGCTCAGATGAAGGGACAGAGATAGTTATGGAAAGAAGTGTGGTGGGAAGAGAAGCCGATCTCACACAGAGGGCCCCGAATGTTATGGTACAGAGTTTGGATTTTATTTTAAATGCGATGGGAAGCCACTGAAGAGTTTTCAGCAGGGAAGTGACACAATCTAATTTATATTTTCTAAGAGCCATGAAAAACTGACTGTAGGGCTATAAAAGCTGACGCGAGGAGATCAGTTTGGAAGCTGGAGCAATTGTCGGAGAGGCTGATGATGGCCGCTGAGGTGAGGGCAGGTGAGGTGGTAATGAATGACACAATTTGAGACATGGTGAGGACAGAGCTGGAAGAACTTGCAGATGGATCCATGACGATGCACGGATTGAGACTGAGTATCTAGGCAAATTGTGGCACCATTAATTGAACTGGAGAAAAATGGGAAAGTAAGATGCTTGCAGGGGAAACTCAAGAGTTTAGCTTTGGACATGTGAAGTCTGAGATACCTAGTAGATACCTAAGAGGAAATATTGAGTGGACAAACAAATTTGTACTTGGGAAATATTAAGCTGGGGGTTAAAATTAGTAGAAACCAGCATAGAGAAACCAGAATAGGTATACAAAGCCACAGGACATGATGAAATCCCTGAGGGATCACTAGGGAATGAGTGGAGATAGAAAAGGGCAGAGGGTGGGCACTGAGCTCCAGGGCTCTCCAGCCGAGAGGCTGGGAAGAGGAAGAACAGCCAGCCAGGGAGACTGAGTGTGCTGCTGGCACGGCGGGAAGAAATCCAGGAGAAAATGATGGCATGGACGCCAAGAAAAGAAAATGTTTTAATAAAGAGGGAAGGTATGATCTACTGTGTCAAGCTGCCGAAAGGCTGAGTAAGAACATCAACCTCCTATAAAAGGAAACTCTTACAGAAATGTTAATCTAAAAATTAGGAGCTCTGTAGTTATTTGTGTGGGAAAATGGGTTTATTCAAAAGCATTATTCAATAAATATCAATTGAACACTTATTGTCAAATCTAATCTTCAATCTGAAAACAGTGTGACAATTAGGTAACATTAGTTTTTACGTCTAGAGGCTTATCACACTAATAAAGCAATTAGCCCTAATGCCAAGCAGTACCCTCCCTGAAAGGAAGCCCACACGTGGGAAAGAATTTATTCCAACTTGAGGAATTTTAGCAATTGCTATGTGAGTTGTGTTGAGGCAAAATATGAAAAGAGTAGGATCTCATATTTGCACAAAAGGGCTGAGTTCTTCTTCTGTCAAAATGCTCCATCACTGGTAAGTTTGTATCACCATTACAACTAAAATTTTATATCCAAGTAAATGGGTCCACATTCCATTCTGAACTCAAGCACCAGCATTTCTGAGCCTCTCTGCAGACATTTGGTAATACAGGCGACTTCTGTGTAGTGTACAGTATTTCCTCCTTGAGTGATGGACCATTTAAAACCAAGGCTGGCTTTCCCTTCTCACATATCATGTCCTAAATGAATAATGCCCACTTAGCTGGTATATTTTCAAACAATGTGTTCAGGGAATGTAAATATATAGTAGTCAATGTAAAACATCATTAGGACGAAAAAAGTAGTATGCAACAAATAATATAAAATTCAGCCCAAAGGAAACTGTTTTAAATTATGACTTAGAACCCCTCCAGCCATGTCAATAATCCATATATATGTCACACAGGTGACTAGATTATATAATCAGCCTCTAAATAGGCACATAGTAGGCATTCAATAAATAGCTAAGTTGTTTTAAAATAAAGACATGCTTTTGGAGTTTTTAAGTAAGCTCTACTATTTGGGCCTCTATTTGTAATTGTTCCTTGGAAAAGACTTGACCAGTACCAAAGGAGGGAAAAGGGTCTGAATGCATACTGATTGAGCTAGCTGATCAGTTTTTTTAATCCTTTAGCAACCTAAACTTATGCAATTTGATTTTCTTGTCATTGCTTTCCCTATACTATCAAAAATGATGCTTTCTTTACTCTTTCAAATTCATCATAAAATTGCTAAAAATCTAAAATTCAATTTGCCACATTACTGATAATTTGAATGACTGAATAAAACATAGGAAATGCTGAAGCAGCATTGATTTCTAAAACATTTTGCACTTTCCTCCTCCATCCCTGTAAAGTAAAGCTCGGATGCTACGCGCAATTACACAAGAAAATCAAGAAAGCCATTACATTCAGCATTTTGTCATGATCATTGTTACCATGGCAAAAAGTGGGCTTAGTTTAGCACAGCTGCTATGGGCAAGGTTTGTCGGCCTTTTGTAAAGCCAAGTAACAACATAATGCCAAATTCTGTAGCCTGTCATGGCTTTTTTTCCAGGATAAGGCTATTGTCCACCGATGCTACTGTCTCATTCCTTAACAATCTGAGCCAATGTCATCTTATTATTATATACTTACTGTTGGCCAGTGACCGAGGAACACAGTTAATCTAGAAAGGCTACCACTTGGCCCACCTCCTGTTCTAAGGGGAAAAACGTGCAGAGTAAAAACCTGGGACTGCACTAATAGAAAAAGCCAAAGTTTCACCAGTTGCATTGAAAATGACAATAGTGTTGTGCTAGAAATAGCACAGGTTTGGGAGTGAGAGAGATAAATACAGGCCCATGATAACTAACTGTGTGGCATATTATTTTCTCTGAGTATCAGTTTAGTTATCCATAAAATGGGGATAAATGTAATTTACTTGTGAGAATTAACTGAGATAATCTGCAGGCCTGGGCACGTGGTGGGTACACAATAAACAGCATGTGTTACCCAACCACTACCCTTTCTTAATCGCTGACATCTCCATACCTTCAGGAATGCTGATAGAAGTTAGTAGGTAAACTGTTTTCTACTGTTGGAAGGTAAATCATTTTCATCTTCATACCATTTGGATACCTTCCTCAGACAGCTCATGATAAATTATTTTTAAAGGTCTGACAGTGAGCATAAATTTCATGTCAAAAGAATAAAAATTCAGTGTTAATATTATACTATGCACCACATTTTATTAGCCATATTTTAAGTGACACCAGTGTTATCACTGTAAAATGGAAAATGGAGTATAAACTAATTTTGACCTTCTATAGAGATATCTAGTTTAAAAAAAAAAGCAACATTATGAAAGCAGAGAAGTTTAAATTATCTGAAATGAATTCATTAATCAAGACTCTACATTTACTAGAAACAAAGGCTACTAGCATTTTTACCAGTTAAACAAAATATTTTTTCTAATGAGATTTCAGCTGAGTATCGTTTATCTTAAGAGAGAAATAATGGGACCTTACCTATTCCAGTAGCTCCAGAACTGGTCATGCAGGTAGGCGTGGTGGCTACATTCATCACCAAATGAGGCTTTGCTTTCAATCCAGTGAATTATGTGCCCTTCTACAGCTAAGGGACAAAGCATTACTAATATACGGTGAAGTGAACGGAAGATGGAAAATTCTGAATTCTGAACAGGCTTCTCTGTGCTTCTCATTTATGAGTAGAGGCTTAGCCCTTACCATCATCTAATGATGCAGTTATAAAACAACGTGTTGTACATGTTCATTACAACATTTATGCTACAATCACATCCCTTTTATTTTTATCATCTTTTTTAAAAGTCCCTTTCCTGTTTCTGAGACTGCCTGCATAACTTAACAAGTGATGCGTCAAGCAGACTGAAGTGAGTCCGGCTTTTCAACAGAACTGTGTTTTAAAAAATTCAAAATTTAGAGAAATGAGTTCAAAATGGCAACCAAAATGTCTTTAGAAGACATGTTCATTTCTCAAATATACGTGAAAGTTTTTAAGTTATAGATTTCTTCTGACCTTATTATTTTCTGCTACTTAAAAGAATCTTTTCCAACTATTTCACCCAATGGATACAATATTATAAATCTAATCTACTCTGATAACATTCGCTAATATTAATATATTGACAAAAAAGTATGGAGAAAACATATCCTTTTTCTCTATAAATATCTGCATAACAGAGTTTAAGGACTTACCAACTGGTACTTGTAAAATGAAGTCTGGTGTTTTGTCATAACCCTTTGCACGGAGCTGATCTTCATCTACAGGAAGAGCAAATACTATTATTTATAACGGTATTCCATTAGCAAGACAGCAATATAATTGCTTTTCTTTCTTAAATATGTGTAAAAATTACTAATGCGGTCATACATATCTTTCTTATGCATGCAATGCTGTGTCAGAATAAATGAACTTTCTTAACAAACCTGAAGCATAGATATAAAAATGCTTTTCTCCCTCTGCATTTTTATGTCTTTATTATAAACATCATTAATTCAAGCTGTCAGATGCTACCTGTTTTTTTAATTGAAAATACTCAAAGTAAAGAAATATACTTACTGATTGAAAGAAAAGGCTTTCACCACAATGAATATCACTGATGTTACCAGCTAGTATTGACAATTTACCAACACAGTGGCCTTTACAATGAAGAAAAAAACTAAGTTTAGCTTCAATCAGTGAAACTATTCCAACACACAAGAAAGGGACAAGGACAGTGAGATCACCACAAAGACTTCTTTCTCCTGCTTAATTCCTTTGGTATGCTATTATTTCTGGCATTTACCAGAATTTTACAACGATATGTAATTCTCAAAAGCAAACAGGTTTTAAGATTTTTTTTCTGAAATTTGTTCAGTTTTTAATCCTTTATGAATATCAATGATCCATTCAGAAGGAAGACAGGAAAACAGGAAGCTTGATAAAGTCAGAAAAAACTAGCAAGGTGCTTGTTTAAAAAAAAAAGAAAAATCCTCCAATATTTTCTAAATGCTGTCCTTGACTTCTAATGGCATTACAATGTGATTTCTGAAATGGGGAGTTCTCCATTAGATTTTGGAGTGACCTGGTCATTCAATTCCAGACGTGGCTTTCTGTCTTCACCCAACCTCAACTAATGGCCCAACCAAGTAACAAGGAAGGCTGTGTGGTCTCTTAACACCTACTGGGCTGTTGACATTGTCATGCATCCCATTCGCCTTCCTGCATCACCTTTGATTAAAATTAATGGCCCATTCCCAGTGTTGGGTAGCTTATTTCCAATCCATTTGTCAGCCCAAGACAGTGGTTTCATGGCCAATGTTCAGAAACTCTGTTTTAGAACACTCTTGTGTACTTCTTGAAAGGTCAGCATTTTAAACGTAAATAACTTTTTAATGACAAGACACATATTTAAAGAAGGTATTTAAGTGAAATTTTATTAAAAATCAATATTTTTAAACTATCCAGATTTTGAAAAATCTCTCCTCCTTACAATATAAAAAATTTCAAATTAACTGTTGAGATAATGAAATACAAATTAAAGTAATGTTACTTTAAGAACAAGAGAATTTGTATATGCAGCTGAAGAACAAGACTGGAAAATTTTTTATCCTTTAACTGTACTCTGACCACAAGGAGAACGTTTAATGAAAAAGCATTTATTAAAATCAACTCCAGCACCCTGAGCTGGTGTTTCAGGTAGCTGATGAACAGTTTTAAAAGCTGGGTTGACATTAAAAAAGGTAGGTTAATATTTTATTAAAACTATCCTAGTTTGATCTACCTTTGCAGATGTTAAAATCTGCTTCAGAAAGAAAAGTGATTATGTTTCTGACAGCAGCTCAAAACAAAATTTCAAAGGTCACCAAGCAATCCAGATGCACACACTAAAATCCCCTTAAAAGGCAGATGCTGCACTCCTGTTCACTGCACCAAAATTACTAGCACAATACCTACACTTTAAATTGCGTGACTGACTTAATGTGAGAATAAAAAACCCAAATCCCCAGACCTGAACATAAAACATCAAGTGAATTTTTCCATCTTTTTGTGGAGAACTTCAAAGTACAACTGGCACACGTCTCTCTCTCTCTCTCTCTCTCTCTCTCTCTCACACACACACACACACACACACACACACACACACCCCTCTTTTTTCCCCTCCCTCTGCCCCTCTCTCTATGAAGATGATCCAATAGTAAGTGTACCTAAAGGATAGCATCTAGAAGTCTACGTTACCACCAGCGATATTACACTTCCATATTTTACATTGAAGAAATTATTCCCAACATCTGAAATACTATGTACTGAGCATTTCCTCCTTCCTTTAATTTATTTACTAAACTCTCACTGCCTTAATTCCCCTGTTTTGACCTTCAATTGTTTCTTTCCTCTGAGATCTCCTATGAAAGGAGGGAACAATTTGGCAAAGTTCAGAGGAAATGACAGTACAATAGTAAGGAACATTGATAAACAGGGGGCCTTGTTCACCTGATCTAGGCCCCAAAAGTCTCTATCACTGATCACCACAGTGGGAGATTTTTAAGATCAGCGCTGTTCATCTGGCTTAATCCCAGCCTTCGCATTTTGCTTGTTTCTTGGCCCCCACACCTTGACAGATTTCTTACCATTACATCATTATGCAAACCATTGGGCATGGATTTAAAATTAGGTTTATACAAGTATGTCAGCGTTCCAACACTGGGATCTTGAGGTTATGTCCCTCGGTCATCAGCCCACATGACTTCTCTTCTGCCTCATCCTTTGTTCATTTCCTTATACTGTTGTGCATGTGGCTGTCTCTCTCTCACATACTGGGCCTGATGCTGTTGTTCTGAGGGCAGGAAAGTTTTCTTTTCATTTTTTAATATCCAATCCACTGCCCTACTCTCACCACCAACATATGCTCCACACACATTTAATACTCAAAAAGGATAATGGAATAAAATATAAGTACATTCTTAAGAATATCCATGTCGTCTGCAAAACCTTCCTACACTGACAATACTTTTCTTTCCAAATTTAACTCCCAATGCATCAACAAGGTACAGGGGCACCAAACTTGGCTCAAAGGTCAAGATTTTAGTTGACATTATCTTGCTATTATCTTTCATCCTTGATCCCAACTGTCTGCTCAACATGGTCACCTGAGGTTCATCTCAGTTGTAAAAGAAGGAACAGCATTCCTTTCCTTAACCCTGATGGGAAATTTTCCTGCTTTTTTCTTTGATCTCAAGTATTTTAAATAACATTGGACTTATTCACTCCTTAACATTTTGGTAGAATTCCCCCATTAACCTAATCTGTGCCTGGAGCTATTGTTGGACAGCTCTCTAGTTAATTTTCCTATTTCTTCTATGATTACTGATCTGTTTAGATTTATATCTCTTCTGTAGTCAGTTTTACAATTTATATTTTCATTGAGAATCATACGTGTCATAGAGGTTCTTATAATACTTTGCACATATTTGAGCCAAACTTTTACTTATGATTCTTTGAATCTCCCAAGTATAAATTAGATGTTTAATCTGCTGTTTTCTTCAAGAAGAAAAAAGATCAGGATTAAGAAAAAAGTAATAATATTAGTTAGAAACAGAAAAGAGTAATGGAAATAATATGGAATGGTATTTTTAGTATAATTTCCTAAAATGGCTGAGAATCAATATGAAATCAATCTCCAAGTCCTGTATACCTATCTTATTCAGTAAATTTAGCAGACATAAAGTAAGGCTCTTCTAATTTAAGGTGGATATTTTAAAACCCAATATATTTCATAACTACTAAGCTCGTTAATGTCATAGTTTAAATGTTCATTATCAAAATTAATATAAGAATATGATCACTTAAAAGCAGATTGTTAGCCTCCACATCCACAAAATGTAGATTTTTAGATAATGGGTATCTCATGAAACACAGTATTTCTGAGCTAATAAAATCTTAGAGATTACTAGCCAAACATTTCATGATAAAAGTGGCCTAGAAGCTGGCCAGTTAGCTCAGTGTGGCGTTGATAACACCAAGGTCCAGGGCTCGATCCCTGTACCATCCAGCAGCCAAAAAAAAAAAAAAGAAAGAAAAAAAAAGTGGCCTAGAGAAGTTTAATGACAACCAAAACCTAGACCTCTCAAATAGTTACATATACAGGACAATCGCTCATGTCTGTCAAGTTCCAGTTTGTCTCAGTAGACCCTACGCCACTGTTATGCAAAAATTTAAATTTGTTCATGTATAATTTTTATGAAGTGGGGAAAAATTCTTATTTTCCTCTTGGAAGATTGTGAAGCACAATAGAGGCAGCTTGCCATCTGTCACATATTATTTAGATGACACCTGCCTGAAGAGGAGATAATCTCTTGATTATCTCTTGAACTAGATAATTTCTTGATTTCTAGCACTTCAATGGTCCTTGCTCCAATTTAACTTGAAATAAAATCAATAAAACTGCATTCAAAGATAAAACTGATGCTAATTTTTAAAATCAACTCAGGTCTTCATTTATTTTTAAGTTGTCAGGCCTGCCTTTAGAGGACATTTTTTAAAAAGGAATTACAGATGCGTTAAGAATGTTGTTCACAGTTTAATTTCTCTGGCCTTTGAATTACCCTCTCCTCCAAATACCCAAAATATCCAAAGCAATTAAGTACTAATTACACAATTTCTTTTTTTAACTTAAAGGACTGAATTTGAGTCAGAGAACAAAATACATATGAAACTAGTTAACATATACTTAAGAATATAGGGGGCATGAGAACCACCAAGAAAAGGTTTGAGATTTTTTGTTTGTTTGTTTTATTAAAAGCTTTAAATTTAAGAAAATAGTTATTCCCAGAGAAATTATGTAAAATTCCAGTTCACAATCTCTGAAAATGGAAAGTAACATTCTGACACACTTTTTATCGATGAATTTATAAAAAGTTTTCTAAAATGCTAGATTAAAATTCTCTGCATGATAAAAAGAAACTTTTTAACATCTAGTGCACCTTCACTAAATTGGGAAAGGACAAATAGGACATATATCATACAAATTAAAACTACACCATATCTTTTTTAGTTTAGTATTTTGTTTTTCTGTGTTATTTTTTCTAAAACACTGTTTCATTCAATACTCAGAGCTATGACTTTTGCTCTTCATATTTTATGTTTCCTAAGAGTAAGTTTCACAGCCTTTGCTACACAATTTAAGAAGTTAGCAAGGTTTCAGTAATAGATGTTACTATAATATGCAAACCATGTGCAAAGGTACACAGAACACCTAAGAGTAAGTTTCACAGCCTTTGCTACA